AACTATTTATCTGTTGTATCGTTATTGTGTAAACTGAAATAATATCAACTTCGTAGCGCAAAACTAATGCTTATTTGTAGCAAAATAGCACTGTCTGCTTTACATTCATGAGGCAAGGATAGGAACATGCTGCGACAACATTATTGGCATGTTCACAGGCTATTCAGAGCGGTTAGGTGTAAGCCCCATTGCTAAGAACGCCAACCGCATAGTAGGCAAAACACCGGCCATTGAGCAGAGCTAATTCTGTGCAGTAAATGCTTTACAAGTGCTTGACTCTCGCCTAAACGATCTGTGGTCAGCGGTTAACAGCATACACGGTCAGATTGCTACCGGGAACTGAGTGCACTGCTGCGGCTTACGTTTAACTTTCGCCGTTTGATGAAAATGAGCGAACTGGACTGGGGTTACCCGGTTAAGTCGAATTACGTTGCTGCGAGACACGCTTGTCACTTATTTAAACATTTTAAGTTTTAACTGCTTTCCTTTTTGCATTTATGTAACAGGTGGTAGCTTGTTTAGGTAGCGGTAGTCTGAACCGCCAATATTTGTCACAACCCCCACTGAGTAAATAGTCCCAAATGACGCTGCGTTCCCATTCCCCACTGCCTCGTTCCTTACACGGAGCCACTGCATCCGTTTCCCGGTTCCCCGGCGTGCAGCCCCCGCAGCGTAGACGCGTCACTGCAGGTGCCCATGCTAACGTGGGTGGCCGACGGCCGTGCCGGGGAACCCAGTCGCGTCAGATGTCTGTCTTCCCTAAGGCACGATGCTGTATGTACAGTCCACAGCAGAAGTAATGTGTGGTTTCAGTCATGGGTATGTTCTGCTTCTGAAGCTTAGGTACGATTAGCCAGACTACATTGAAACTTTGAATGTAGCTTATATTTATCGTCACCTTTGCAGCTGCAACTTTAGCTATTGACATCTTCTTTTCTATCACTCCGCATTAAACAATCGCCAGTCAAAGTCAACCGTTGAGATTGGTAAAACCCTACATTACTTTAGCGGTGGGCTGTACGTGCATTCTTGGTGGTGTGCGAGGAGTACGGGGTATTCTGTACCCATTCTAGTGCGGTCCGCAAGCGGTAGAGCGTTTATGAGCGTCTTCTTGGCTGCTCAGTGCTCAGCTCAGGCAGGGTCGTGGGAGGTCGCCTTGCGATGGAGGGCAGGGTACGCCGCCGGTGTGCAGACAGTTGCCGTTGATTGATTGCCCTACGGCGCTACTAGGGAGGAGCTGTCGTGGGTGGCCGAGCTATGGCCAGGAATGGGTGAATGGTAGCGCCAATGAGCGATTTTATGGGCGCGAGAACTATCTTAAGGGGTGAGGAGTGGGTGGTCAACCCGCGCCTGATTGAGCTTCCAGTCGAATATTGACTGAGGGTGGAGGGGGGAGGGGCGTTAAGCGCCCTCCCCAGTTTATCTCCATAACTAAGCAACGTAGCGAGCTGCACAAGGCAGCGCAGGCACGTTTTCACCGAGCCGTACCTATTTGAGGCGGTTCTTAAATTTCAGTTTTTAGTTCACACACCGGGTCAAATACAGGTCGAATGTCAAAATGAGCCTATTCATATTTAGGGCTCTGGGGAACGCATTGTAAGATATATCGAGCGCGGTTTCAGCTTGGTTATTGTCAAGGGGTTGATGAAGCTGCTCTGGAAGTGCTTAACTCATGCACGCTGCACAGCAGTTATTAAGGTCAAGGTCAGGTCAGAAGGTCAACAATTGTGAAAGATGATTCAATAACGCAATCAGCTGGGACTAATAAAAACCCGGGATGCCTCGCATATAGCCTACTACTCCGTTATGTAGTCACAAATGCCTAAAGCACGGTGATATCAATAACATGCATAACAAACAATGCAATTGCATTTTCACGGGCGCATTAGCTGAACGATCGATTGTCATCCTCTCTGCGGAGCAGAGGTGTTTATCCTCCAGAATAGCCTGTCACGTTCGCTGGTCGTTTACCACATTGCGCTATGAGCTTTTATGACAGAGTTACGGCCCTATACAAGTTAACGCTCCGATCAATCTCGACGTAAAGACGTATTGGCCAACGCCGAACGTTTCGAGTCACCCCGACCATCGACTCATTCCGGCGCCTTATACGGGCAAGACATGCACTGCCGAACGGCGGCACTGCCCGACGGCAGGCTGAGGCAAAACTAACACTGCAGTCGCAGTCTTTTCGATTAATCACGGTGAGGGCACAGTTGCAGCCGAGTGCCATTCCGCACACGTATTGGCGGTGCCGCACACTCATCATGGCTACAAGCCCGGGTGGGGGCCCAACGAGGCCTCCTGCGTGGCAACACGGAGAGGTGGCGTGACTGGTCACTTGTGGAACACTCCACTATGAGTGGATTGGTTTGTCCGGGACGAGAGAACTTTAGATATTCTCAAAAAACATTTTTAGCATTAACCACTTATATTTTTCTTTGCTTTTCATGGCAAGGCAGTCAGGATTAACCCGCGCCCAGATGGGGTCTGCCGAGCAACGCGGTCTGATGGGGGGGCCATTTTGCCCCCCCCCCCCAGATCTCGAGAACCACGCAACATAGCGACAAGCGGTAAACGGTGTTGGATAGCCCCAACGGGGAACTACCTTGTGACCCAATTTCATTGACCTCGGTCAAACCGATGACGTCACAGGTCAGGTCAAAGGTCGAATTTTCACCGTTTACAGGCATTTCAAGAAATGCGTTGTAAAATCGAGTAAAATGCATTTCATTGAAAATCATCGGTGGAGAAATGTTCTTCAAACACATATTTTGCTATTTGAGGTCACTGATACCAGGTCAGGTCACAGAGGTCAGGTCACTGGGGGGTCACAATATGAAAGTGTCGTGTGATACATGTTTTATGGTCCATTTTACATGACAAATGCGATTATGTGGGTCAGACAGACTTTAGGGCCAGCTTAGGTCACGTTTTGGTCAAGGTCAGGTCAAGGTCAGGTCAAGGTCAGGTCAAATTAGGTCAAATTTCAAAGTTGATATTTTTGCATAAAATGGGTATCGATTCGATGCAGCTCGTCACGGGGAGTTCAATGGTGGTCTCCGTTTTGCGCTACGAGGTCTAGAATTGCTAAAAATTGAGTTAAAAAATTTGACGTCATCAATTTTTAACAGTTTTTTTGCTATAACTTGGCCAAAAAAGAGTTATCGATCTAAAATTTGGTATGTATATCGAAGAGCGTAGGGACTATCACATGTATTCCGGTTTTTTTTTTTCGAAATTCGGAAAAAATTGGAAATTTTTTGAGTTTTTCTAAAAAAATCAATTTTTTTATTTTTGGGGGTCAAAATCCCAACATTTTGAAAATCCGAGATAGCAGTTTTGTAGCGCCGTCTTTTCTCTACACAACCACATAAAGAACTTTAAAATTGCTTGTTAACTGTAGAATTCGTGTGCGTTTCAAGATGTCATGTTTTTTGCTCATTTTTGCTCGAACATGACCTCAGTTTGACCTCAATAACTCCTGACCTGAGGTGACCTGTGACTTGAAATTTTGTGTGAAGGTGTCAAATTGATGCCCGGTAAGGTACCCAAAATTTGGCGGCGCTGCGCGCCGCCGTTTTCTCGCTATTTAAGAAAAACCACAGGGGGGGGGCCAAAATGCCCCCCCATCAGGGCGCGGGTTAAGAAGCATTATCTTCTATGGAGTTCAATAAGTATTTCGAAACCTAAATTCTCACTTTGAGATGGGGCCTTTTTCATTTACTGAATAACGTACGGCTCTATAGCAACTTAGATATCTGTAAATGCGATTTGACAGACAGCAGATGACATTGCTGAGCTTGCATTGGTTTTCAGTAAAGGTGAAACAGCTGTAATATCCGCAAATACTTAAAAGCAGGGGCGGGATGATCTCATTGACTATCAGGTCCGCTTGCCTTGCTTCATCACTTCCGCGTCGGGCTCTTTGGGTCTTTGGTAAAGATAGGTTTCACTAGTTCATCTGTTCGGACGTGACTAAACCAATCTGGCCAACGTGAAACCGGCTGACGAGTTGGCACCGCGCTGGTGACGCGCATAACAATGACCGATCCTGGAAACTAACGAGGTGACAAAAACGGGTGAAAACGGCTTGTAAACGATGTGCCAGCCTCCAGCACCGCCTATTGACCGGAGACTTATTTCCGACAAAGGCATCCTTGATTGTGAGTTATCGTTTTGAAGACGCAGGGATAGGGTTTTCCTAAACATTTTTCGACGAGTTTCTCGTCATTTTGAGCCCGCCCGCGGGACCGGCTGGTGGATGACGAGCCGTTTTCTCGGAGCGGCTTTCCAGGTCAGATGGCGACGGCGCGGTCACAACAGGGCCGGCCCTTTGTGTCAGCTCGGGAATAACACAACGGTTAGTGTGTCGTAACACTATAACTGCCCGCCGTCCAGTCGACAATCGGCGGATGGTGGGCACTAAGCGGCACCATCGCGGCTCCGCTTAGATGATGGCACAATGAGCTGAAGGCACTCAACAAATGACCCGGTATTTACTGCGACGACCGTGAGGTGATTGCCGTCTGGCGCAGCCCGCGCACGTCAGTCAATGGGACGTTGAAAAACTGTCAGTGCCAGCTACAGCCTGAAATTATTAAATGGCTAGATGGCGACAAAAGGGATCTGTGAACTGAGCTCCGCGGCTTTAGGTGACGTATCAATGGTCATCGGTCGTTTCGTCTTTCAGTTCAGACGATCACTAAATAAGGCCTTACTTTTGGGGCCTGGCACATCATTTTTCGGAGTTCATATGACCTTTCATGGCTTCAGGTGCCTATAAATGATCAAATTATCGCGGTCTAGTGTCTGTATATCTAAATGAGACATGGGTGGTATGACAGGGCTAATCCATTATCATTATCTTCATGAGGCGTCATTATTGCGTTTATCTCGTCCATAAATGAAGAGGTAACACAAGATGTATGAGGCGAAACTAGCCGAGTGCAGCGATTACCCGTGTAGGTGTACCATTATCGAAACTGGACGCCACTCACCTCATGCCCTTTTCAATTTTCTCCTGGAGAATGCTAGCATGTGACATCTGCTTGATTGCGTTGAAGTTGCATCCCTCGGTTTCTGCGTTCAGCATCGCATGCGCCAGCTGGATCTCCTTTTCGTTCATCTTGCTTGCTGCTAGTGCCCCAAACAAGTGGAACAATTATAAGCAACTGTACCTCAACTGTCTGCTGCAACTTGCTCTCACACTTCACTTACACTTCTCACTCGCATCAAATCACAGCGGTCGGATTGTCACAACGCGCACACAGACCGACTGTCTTTGAAATCATGAAACTTGATGCCGGCAAAGCCTAAACCACTCCACGTCAAACGCAAAATCAGACTCGTAAGAACCACGTGTACCAGCCGCGTCGCCTTTTATCACAGAGCACTCACCAGCCCGGAGTTTTGTTGATCGACCCTGTCACCACCGAAGGGGCCGCAGTGGCTGTCGACCTGACCTGACCTGACCTGGTCGGGTTGCCGGTCGGGGGGCGTGGACCAGAGTCGGGCGGTACACCTCTTAGGACCGACCGGCGACGACTGAACGGCCGCTCGACCAGGACTCTCTCGCGCGCTGCTCTCCCTCTCCCTCTCTACGCCGTCGCTCGACCGCCGCTCGAGAAAGGCGGTGGACGGTGGACGTTGGGCGGTGGACGTTAGGCAGTGGACGGTGGACGGTGAATAGTGGACAGAGTAGCCAGTTTGCAAGACGGCAGACCACATACAATAGATGGTAGACAACACCTAGTAATTGCCAACTGACGGCAGACACTTAAAACAAGACGACTGAAAAGGACGCTTATACAGCCAGCAGACAGCATAGGGGAGACCCGGGAGGTATGGGCCGGTTTTGTGAAAAGGCAATTTTCTTCCAGTGGGAAGTGGCTAGACCCGGTTTTTCACTCTGTGTACGTGAAATTGCCTTTCGCCTGCAAAGTGTGCCTGATATTAGGCATCTGGGATCAACTATTTTGTCTCGAGATAACTTTCAATAAATCATGCGCTTTTTCGATCCATCAAAATACACCGGGAGGTATGGGCCATGGCCCGGGAGGTATGGGCCGGTGCCATGTTTCATATTCTTTTATCGATAATGAGAACAATACTCGTAGCTGCTATCTACCCTGATCTCTCTTAGAGCCCAGGAACCGCATAAGCGGCCAACAGCTTACTTCATGGGGGTCACGTGGGCACATATGTATTTTGGTAAACTCAATCACGCTCCATGAAATAAGATAAATAATATTATTTCTGTACGAATGAAATTTGAAGGTAAATTTTCGACCTTGCGCGACAAAAATAAAACTTATTGACGGGGACATTCAATGAAAGCATCTTTTTATTTATTTCGGATCACTGGGGGTGGGTGGCCCGAACCTCCCGGTTAGGACGCCAGAATGTGCGTAGCATCTCAGCTCATAATCTTGCAAGAAAGCTTCAAATGGTCTATCCAGTCTGAATTTGCATGCTTTAAACTTTATATTACCGGTGGTCTGACTTTATAAATCGAGCCTGTTTCAAGTTTATCACGAATTTTCTGTATGCACCGTATTTGACTCGAAGAGGGCAAAAACGCCTTATCACCGCTCATTGCCAAAGAAGACTGAGGAAAATTTTGGAAATCCTGTGGGTTGTATAACGGAATGGCTGCTACCAGTTTACGCGGTCAAATGTGTAAAAATGCGCAACACTTCTTCAAAACTGCGATGGCCCATACCTCCAGGGGGCCCATACCTCCCGGGTCTCCCCTACCCAAAACGGTAGACGGTAGACAGTGGACGCTAAAGACAACGGCCTGCAGTAGGCGGACGCTCTCTTGGGTTTCTCATGCCACTGCTGACCGTCGTCCGTTCGTCCGGGGTGGGACTCGGGAGATTGGGATCATCGGTACCGCCCTCGAACCGGTTACACCCACTACAGGAATGTTAATGTCCCCATCCCGGCCGCACCAGTACCATTGAGTGATGCCAGAACAGTAGCGGAAATGTGTCACTCTACACTTAAACACAACAAGCTTGTTTCACATGATGTGTGGGTGCACCAGGCTGACCGAAGCATACGCCTGGGAATCGGCGTATAACGGTGCCTAGGCTCTGAGCGGCGTGCAGTGGGCGTGGGTCGATAACCAGATACATTGATGGTCCAAAATGGATCTCGGGACCGCCTGCTCCCTCGGGAGATCGTGACTTGCATCAGTTTCGATCGTACCGTGCCGATAGTCATCAGCCGAACACTATCGGTCGAGGGTAAGTGAAAGAATCGGAGCAGCGTGCACACCAGATTCGAGGCGCCTCATGGATAAGACATTTCTAGAAGGTAAACATCCTCTTAGTCCAGCTCAACATACTATTGACGCGTCGTTGTGTATTCATTGAAAGCTCATGGAGCCCATGCGCGGGCCAATACACCCACCAATACCGCTCGACCATGTTGCCACCAGGGAGGGGGCCGGGTGGGGGTGGGGGGGGGGGGGCTCGTTAGCTGCGGGCCTACAGAGCCATCCATTCGGCTGTCACGCCGATGCAGTAACGCAGCGGGCGGCCCAACGATAGACTGCTATGGTGCCCAGGCACGTGCTGGCCTCCTGCATGGTCTCACGAGGAAGTCGAGTGCGTGATGATGGTCAGCGATTGATCGGGCAGTAGAAATGCTAAATAATTTATGAGCAATGATTGCGAATGTTGAGGTTCGGAATGATAATATGAATATAATGCATGTGAATTAATAATCTTTGAAAAGCCAAGTATAGTATTGCATTAGTAAGGATTGGGGACACCCGATTTACTTATTCGCTTTCTTTACATTTACCTTCGGAAGCTCTTTGTAAAAAAATAAAATTAAATAAGATAAGAAACGACATCAAAGGATAATAAGTTTTTGTTACCTTACCTGGCCTATAGGTATGCTTCGAAACTTACTTTTTCAACCAAACGTTTCGACTTTCGATAGATGAAAACTATGCTTCTGATTGAAACTTTATCTACAAACGTTCCAGTATTGTGCATCGTAATTCGTAACTTAGTAGCAAAAAAGGAATAAGCCAAAAATGATTTAATTCCATTAACAACAGTAGTCAGTAGCGTATGGTGGCATCCACTAACGATTCTAATAATCATTCCTGTTTTGACGGTATGTCTCAAGTAAGGCTGCATTGACCGTTGACATACCTTTTTTCCGTGGTTCATGCGCCCGGTAACTCTGTTGTCTGGTACTGTTTATCGGTGTACGGTACATGCGGCGACACGCAACTCCACAGAGTGCGGAAACTTTTGAACTTCGGTGCCCGAGTTATCAGTGGCCGACGCAAATACGACCATATTAGTGACGTTCTCCGCGATCTGCATTCTGCACTGGCTCGACGCTGCGCAGCTTGTCAGGTATCATCGTCTGTGTATGGTGCATTCAGTCGCCGCCACGGGAAGACCCGAGGACATAGCGATCACCATATAGGAGAAGTGACACAGCACCAGTACCGGACGCGTGACGCCGGCCGACATGTGTTACCGAGGATACGCACGGAGGCCGGGCGCCGGCGGCTGTGTTACAGCGCCGTGCGGGACTACGACCGTCTCCCGCTCGATGTCAGCGTACGCAGCTTTAGGCGTCAACTCAGGAAATACTTACTGCGAGAGCAGAATGGCAACTCGTAGGTCGCGATAAGTGGACTGCCTTGTACTGCCCCGAATCTCGTCTTTTTTGTATCGTGTTTGACGTGAGGCAATGAAAACCCATGTTTTATGGATTTGTCGCGAATAAAGAATCTGAATCTGAATCCGGGTGTCAATCCAAGACAGGCGGATTGGACAGGAACATATCCTTCAGGAAGCATGTGAAATGTGTGAAATATGGACGCGCCACCGCTCACTTGCTTATTAGTCTTTCGTCACCTGCATTTCCAGTGTCCACAATTGGCTCCGCAGCCATATAATTCACTCGTCTACCCATAAACCCCAAACACGACGGTGTTCTGGCGAGCCATTCGTTTTTTCCTCCTCCGAAAGTGAAGGCAGCGCACGCCACATTGCCCAATGAAGCGGTGAGTGTGCGTTTGGTCAGTGGTGGCCGGTGGAGCCCGCCGCCCTCCCACCGCCCGCCCGCCGTCACCGCCCGCCCGCCGCGGGCCGTCAAACGCAGCCTTCGTTTCACCGTCAATCGGTGGCCGCAGCGTCGGCAGATTTACAATGCACTGGCGGCCGCCGTACGGAGAATTTCTCCTCCATTCTGTTCAAATTGCGTTTGTTCGTCACCGTAGGCCAGCGCGGCGGTGGCCCGCCCGCAGCGATGGTGCCGGAGAAGTAGATCGGCGATTGGCCCGCGGCCGCGGGTGGGCGAATGAATTTCCTGTGCAGCACGGAGGCTGTCAGCATCTATTGGATCTCGCTATAATTCTTCTATATATCGAAATTATTCACTGATCACCACCTAAGAGCCTCGCTTGTTGGGAAAACAGGGAACCTGGTCCAAGTGACTGAGGAGCTTGGCTCCTTTCAGTCAGCGCGGGAGGAATAAATGTTTATTCGAGTTTGTAAACGAACTGCCGATGAAAGGTGGCGTCGACTGCTTTGACGTAGGTAACTAACCAGGATAATTGACCACCTGTCGACGCGGTAGCAGGTGTTTGACTGGAATGTCTTCATATTCACACGGTCAATTATATGGAAGTAGTTATGTGCGCTCTGATTTGTCATACGTGTCGCTAGCTTGTAGTTTCTTTTGAAAGTATCGATATATTAATTGAATCAAAATGTTTGTGAAATAGAAATATGTGCGGACTGTCGTTACTAATCAAAATGTCATTAAATTTTGGGGGCCATGGCGGTCAAGTCATATTGTGGTCCTAGCATTATGTTTTAATCAATAGTGCACGATACAAGAATGCAAAATATTGGTATACTCGTATGCGAAAGTATGAAGGATGCAACTCTAGAAAAACATCGGTCGATACGACATTCGACTTTGTCAAGGATTTCGTCGTAAATGTCACTCTAAACATTTGGGCAGAAAGTTAAGGTTGTATTACGGAAACAAGTTCGCATCATAATATAAAAATGGCACTTTCCACGACATCTCAACGCAACAAACATGGTGGCAGAAGCAACTCTCTGCGTCCCGTGCACCTCACGGCCTGCACTACACAGCGTGCTCGGCAAAACACCACACCATACATCCTACTGGCTTCACTGTTTCTGCCAGCACAACTGCCAGCGAACACACGTCGCTTTCTACGCGCTCAGCAGACGCCTAACATGATCCACTTCCGTCATCTAAATCGACTATTGTGCCAAAGCTGCATCTCGTGCAGCTCAGGAAGCTTGAACATGACGATGTGTTCAGTCTTATTAATGAGTGCTTCGCTTAAGCTCATGAACATTCATTCACTGCATAGTACATACAACGAAGAATCAATGAAAAACGGACAAAATGCACAGTTTGGTTTAATGTGATATATGTTTCGTGTCACATTGCGACACCAAAGTTTAAGTACTGCGTCCTAACTGTCAATTCAAGTCGTCTGAAAGCTCTATGAAAAGTCGCAGGGATTG